TTTGAGAATTAACAACTAATTGAAAAGATATTAAGCAAACCAACGAGGAAATATGGTACTGTACTTATTGCAATGAGCAACACTGATCTGGGTCATTCCATAATTTAGATGTCCAAAAGTGTGACTTTGTTGTTCCTGTTACACCTGACCAGTGTAATTTGACATGGAATTATTGAAATTGACTTCAAACTATTTGTATTTCATTGCATGTTAATTAATCTTAACCCCCCCAATACAAAGATGCATTCTTAATCCCTGACCCTTTTGCGTCCGTGTACTGGGGCAAATCAAGTGGAAGGAATTTTTTACTGTTTGTGATTCTTACAACACAATGAGGGTTAATATATCTTGGAAATTCAAGAATGTGTTCTTAACTTATAAAATCATATGTCAGATGTTACAGGGACATGAAAGATATTAGATCCCAGATTTCTAAAATGACCCATCTACTTCCTTTTATTCTTGTCTTGATCATTGCAGACTTTCTCCAACATTCAACAAGGAGATGTATGTGGACTTCATCGCAGCACAGATCAAGACATTGTCATTCCTTGCTTTCATCCTGAGAATATACCAGGTCTGAACTAGTCAGATAGCCATAAATATATAGTGCTGAGGTAGTGCTATGCTACAATGTACACCCAAACACTTACTTCTCAGAGACAGTAAATGATTTTCAGATTAAGGATAACATCATGCCAGCTGGTTAGTACTTCAGTAATACCTTCTAATTGTGATTGTTTTCTGGAGGCCTTGTCCTCACAAAATTCTCTCCCAATGTCATATCATTCCCGTTAGGTCAAATTATGAGTTATGATTTGTATTTGTACCAAATAAAAATTTGATAAAATCATATATGAAGGAAACTGAATGAGTGTCCAAGGACTTTTTTCCCTACACCATTAATTCTTTCAGGAGATAGTGAACTCTTATGCCCCTCAGCTAGTCAAGGGCATGCTGGGTCTTTTCACCAATTGTCCTAGTGAGGTAGCTCATTTGAGAAAAGAGTTGCTGATTGCTGCCAGACATATTCTGGCAACTGACCTGAGAAACAGTAAGTATTTCCTACAAATGCACAATGAATGTAAACCTGCCATTGCTGAAATCAGTGTGATTGGATTGCAAGGCCTGTTAGATGTTACGCCAAGCAGTGAAAAGGAAAGATTCAAATGCTGAAAAACCATAAAATGTTCAAGTGTAGAAATCCTTCGCTAAGTATTGGTAACATATACAATATGAAAATAAATTTAAAAATTCATAACCTTGGCATATCCAATTACAATGAATCAAATGGCATGTAGAATTCCTCTTTGAGAATCCACCTATGGCTCAAATTGAACCCTCCAACCTATTCTGTCTTGTTTAGCAAGTCACATCAGTGTTGGGTGTTGATAAGACTAATCTGTTATTGAGATATACACAAGCAAAACTACAAGTATGAATGGAAATAAAAAGTTGAGATTCACAGTGATACGTTGAATGCATATGTTTAACAGATGATGGTTTTTATGTAATATTTGAACAATTTTCTTGCATGAAATGTTTTTATAGATTTTTATTACAGGTCAAATACTGGTCTAACCATTGTTAATTTTGCCAGATTATTTTCTGTTTAAAAGATTTGAGGCGCAAAATTTACATAGATAGAAGTGCTGTCTCCTTTATGTGACATGCAACTTTTCCTTCCAATTACCCAGAGTTTGTGCCAACAATTGACAAGCTGTTTGATGAGGCTATATTAGTGGGAAACGGCACAACCAGTAAAGAATCTCTCAGGTAAATTAGCTTGGAATTTTAGGAAGGAAACTAACTGTTGACAGTGTGTTTTGTATAGAGGTCCCAGTTGTTTTGATCCTTTCAGTGGTTTTGTGAACGGGAAAGTTATTAAAGCGATGTAAGAGTCTGTGATTCTTGCAAGGTTTTTATTCTGAAACTACCTCTGGAAAAACAAAAGCACTTTGCACAGATTTTTTTATCTCACTTTGTTGTATACAATCTTTCTGAAGTTGTCTCTGTGGGTCTTATGAATACTTTGTACACTGAGATTTTTGCTCTCACTTCAAATTGTGTCGAACTCAGTTCTCTGAGAAGAAGACATCCATGAATCTCGATATTTTGGTGCAGATCATTGATGTCAATTATGTGCATGTGTGATAAGAAATTAAGTTGTGAATGAAGAATTGTGCTACTTGCTTTCTACCGGTAGTAGACTTATCCCCTGCTTCTCTCTTTAAATGCTGTGAGCCTCTTAACCCACTTACATGCTGAGTATGAATCTATATTACAGGCCCTTAGCCTATAGCACATTGGCTGACTCAGTTCATCATTTGCGGCAACACTTGCCTCTTCAGCATCTCTCAATGGCCGTCCATCTGTTCTCTAAAAATGTTCATGATGATTCTCTACCATGTAACATCCAAACTGTCTCCTGCAAGTTGCTGTTGAACTTGGTAGAGTGCATACGGCAGAAGAGTGAACAGGATGGTGCCAATGTAAGTCTCATTAAAAGACTAAAACTCACATGGAAGTACCTGTGAGAAATATTCTGTGTTATCTCTTTGTTCCAATCAAACCCATTAAAGCAAGCCCCCATCTGCAATTGGTGTGAGGTGTATACTTTCACAAGCACTGGGTACTCTATGCTGTCCAAGAGCTTTTAAGAAAAGTTGTAATAAAAATAAGATTTTTCCTATTACCATTGCAAAATATACAATAAGATGAGTTCAAATACAGCACCACCACTTTGTTGAAGGGTAAAACAGAATTTAAAATGGAGGAAATGTATTGAGTTTATGGCATGAAATGTCAGTTATAAAAGTGGAAGATTGGATACTGTGTCATTGCAGGCCAGAGAGATATTGATGCACATGCTGCAAGTGTTTGTCTTGAAGTTCAAAACCATCTCAGAAAACCAACTTCCAGTCATCTTTCAAAAGTGGTAAGAATTCATCTGTATTAAATAAAATTACTTTTGAAAGTTAACCATCATAAGAAACAAGACTGTCGAGCATAGAAAGTTAAGAATCCCATTGGTGAATATGAGGCTGATCAGGGCACAGTCCACCAGTGTAGTTTGTTTTATGTATTCAAAGTATTTCAAACCTTAAACAACAATGCTTATTTTTCTTTCACTAGTTTGTCTGATCTGTAAACCCCCCCTCCCATCGTTACTTGTGTCAGAGCTTGGTGGACGTGTGAATCCAGTCATCTGCAGTGTTGATAGTATGATTTACGATCATTTGCAATGCCTATAGTGACTGCATTAGATATTCTTATGATGCCATCTTGTGTGAGTCATTTATGTGTGAATCATTTTAGTCGACAGCACCAGGAGTCAAGTCAAGATAAGTCCAGCTCCTCACAGTCACATCCAACTATTTCCTTGGCCTCCAAACCACCACCCCTTACTCTGACCATTCCACCTCCCCAAACACCAAGTACCCCAGCACCGTCAACCCCCAGCCTCTTACCTCCGCCCCCCACCCCCTCAGTACCTCCAACCCCGACTTTGCCATCTACACCGGCCATCCCAAGCACTCCTGGGACTACAATGCAACCTTTAAGTGCCCTGTTTCCTGACAAGGACAAAGAAGACTTGAAGGCCAAGACCTATGTCCCATCAAGCTTCTCTCAGTTTAACAACTACTCAGTGACAGACTGCAGGAATCTGGTGAAGACTGTTGTCTGTGGTGTGAAGACAATTACCTGGGGTGTCAGTTCCTGCAAGGTATCAACTGGTGAGTTTCATCTACCTGTGTTCAGCTGATTGATGTTGATAGATTGTAGTCTTTTTAAAGTATAACAGCTTAATATACATGTATTGAAAGTTGTGCGGTTATTAAAGACTTTATAGTTTGCTTCACAGCCTGAAAACTAAATGTCATCAAGCAATCAGACTCATTTGGAAACAAAACAAGGTTGACCTTGGTGCAGTGCATCGCTCCCCTTGATCATCCAAAAGATCCAGATATCTGCTTTGAAACAGCACATTAAATGTGGACCCCAAACAAGACGCTGTTAACCTGTACAAATTAATGCCTTAACTAAAATTCCCATTTTAGACTTCAGAAATACAGTCGCCCGGGTTCATATGAAAAGCATTTCCTTCACAAAATGATTTGAATTGTGTTATGCCACTGTTTACTTCTCAGTGATTTTGGTATTTTGTTAAAGAGCTGTCACATTGTTTTGACATAAAATTGATCTGAGGTAGGTAGATGACACTCCTTGCTTTGCCTTATATGCACCTTTATTGCTCCAGACACACAACATCCTTGTCTTTATCTCACCAGACAGCTGTATTCTTTTTCATTTTTCCTTTCTGTGTTCTTTTTACCTTGACAGATGTACAAACCTTTGGTCAGAATAAGCAGTTTCAGCCCAAGGAGACAGCAGTCTTTGTTGATCTTGTTAAGTATGGTGAGTCAATTTGTAATTAAAGAGCAATCCCAACGGTGGTGAAAAAAATGGAGAATACAGTTTAATATACTCATGTGGTATGTAAGTAATAAGTTATATATGTAAAGTGGCACTGAAACTTCTAAATAAATTGTAATAGTGCGATAAAAATATGGACCAATTTTGCAAATTTTCCTAAAACTGTACATGTTTGTACCGTTGGTGGCACCATGCAGAAATGCACGGCCTAGCCTGACACTTTTTTTGGAACAAATAACACAGAAACATTCAAAACATCTGTCCTTCACTCTGAGCTTACCAAGCCGTATTGATCAAACAAACTTGGTCTCCTTCACCGCCTTGTTCACCAGTCAGTGGCCCTGATGTCAGCCTGATCAGGATCCTGTTGGCAATCTGGTGGTATGATGAGTTCAAATCTGTAAGGCTCTGCGCCTCGGACTTGGGACAGTGTAACTGTAACTACACACGCGTTACTATACTACGTGTAATTTTGTGCATTGGTGTGACCGCGCTAGCTCACTGTGTACATGCACCAGCCAGAGAACCGTTTCCACGGTGCTGCGTAGACAAAAGCTCACTGTGTACATGCACCAGCCAGAGAACCGTTTCCACGGTGCTATGTGGACAAAAGGCTGGAAAAGCCCTATTCATGAGATTTAAATGAAGCGATGACGACACGCTCCTTTCGTGGAAGATAACAATTCCGCTCAGCAGTAACGGGTCTCAAAAGTGACTTTTTTAACCAAAAATATTGCTGAATCCAGGTTAATAGATGGCATATAGGTGGCCTAGATGTCTATAATGGATCCAAGTAAATTTACTACAGCAGATTTCTTATTTTCTTTCACTGTTGGAGTTGCTCTTTAAAATCTTGCATACAATATAAGTAACTGAGGGCAGAGTACTTTCAGGATCTGGTTGCTGTTTTAATAATGTGAACAAAGCATTTGCTCTGAAAATAATTTGATCTGAGCAAAACTAATACTAACTGTAAGATGAAGAATTCCTTGTTGTCTGTGCTAAGTAATGTTTGAAACAGATATCTTTGAAGTTACAGGTGCTATGAACATTTACTTTCCATGAGTTGAATGGAACCAGCTGTTCAAGTGGATTGAAAGTGAATGTATTTATTTACACTGTTAATTGTAACCTGCTTGGGTTTCACAGTCATCTACAAAGGTTATGTTGTAAACAGATGCCAGTCCAAATAAAGTTATTATTTCGTATACTGTGATAAATATGCATGCATGGTTTATTCAGAGACAGAAAGAATTTAGTATCTACATGTAAGACGATTGTTTCATGTAATCTTTTTCCCCATATTCTGTTCAAATCACAGCCATGAAAGCACTGGATATATATCAGATCCAAGTTGCTGCTAATGGACAGACAACAATTAGACCACCTGCCATGCAGGGTGTGCGCATTAAGGATGAGAAGGAAGTGTTAGAACATTTTGCAGGAGTGGTAAGCAGCTTTTTCACAAAATATTGGCTGGTGCTGTTTTCCAAGGACCGTACTTTCCGTGGTTATTTGCTGGTTTAACTTAAATAGGTAAAATGCTGACAAGTCATCGCAAGCCTTTCATCAGTGAACTGCAAATCAACAAGCCTTTAGTCAAGTCACCAACTGTTCAAAAGATTCTTTTCATTGTTCATGCCCTGTTGCTTCAGTACTTGTGATTTGACTGCTGATTTGACGTTTGGCAGGTTTTCCCACTCTTCCCGGTAGCTGTGTTGTAGGTTACAATCTATCCTATGATAACTTACAGTTGTGCCACAGTTATTGCAAAAGGTTATAATTTTGGATGAAAAATAAGCCAGAAAGGTCATATTGTGACTTATTTTGCCATACTCACTTCAATGAGTTGTGGTGAAATGGGATCTAATTCTCATTTCCAAATTTCACTGTTGTAATGGACTTACTTGCAAAAGTATAAAACGTATAAAATGTATGTTGAAAGTTGAGCATTTCTGTTTGATTATAACCTGACTCTGTATCATGGAATGTGTTTGATCTACATGTAGTTCACCATGATGCACCAGCTGACATTCCGAGAGATCTTCCAAACCACCATCGACTTCTTTGTGGATAGGATCAATCAGAACTATGCACTGCAGATCATTGCCAATTCTTTCCTTGCCAACCCAGCTACATCGGCCACATTTGCTACCATCTTGGTGGAGTACTTGCTGCAGCGCATGCCGGAAATGGGAAGTAAGTCAGACTTTGAGGCAAACACTTCAACTTTATTGTGCTTACATTCAGTAGATTAATCATGTTTCTGGTTTAAAAAAAATTGTGGCCATTGTATAGCCCTAGTTCCCAAGTAACTAGACTTAACGACATGATAGCAATTGATTCCAATGGAGCCCTCCAAAATTTAAATGATCCTTCTGTTTATTACAAAGCTATTCAATGCAGTTATACCCCTTCAATTCTTTCAATTTACAACACCAGAGTTTGTTGAAATTTGATGAGTTGAGTTCTGTGTACATATGAAACTTACTGTATAAAGTGTTGTTATGACAGGATGAGTACTGTACAGATGCAGTAGCAGGTGTTGGATTTGGACTGGGTGGGGATGGTTGGTAATGCCCAGTACTTGCTTCTGCGTGTTTGATGAATAGTGCTGCTGGTATTTGTGTGCCTGTAAACAGTGGAGGTCATTTGGTCATGTACCTGTACTTAAGGAATAGAATAATTTACAATAGAGTGTTTGGTGACCTTGCTTTTTTACGAGAAGTCAAAGATAAAAACAAAGAAATCTGAGCCCCCCCCAACAAATGCAATATTGTATAGCCCTGCAGTTGTTGGATCTTGAAGGGATGAGTACACTGTGTCTCCAATCTTTATACATAGTGTATGACCAAGTATCCCCACTCAGCCAAACCCCAACAGTTTACTGCCAGTTGGAGTTTGTTGGGTTGAGTACCGATACAGTAAGTAGACTGTTGGAATCCTGCAGGTTGAGTACACACACCTCACCCAGCAGCGAAAGGGTGTTGGAATTTGACGGGTTGAGTCAGCCTTCGAGAAAAAATGCTGAGGGGATTAAGTTAAAGAAATGGTAAAAGTATTGTTTTAAAATGTTTCAAAATGTGATTGTTGTCTATTTCCTAGCCAATATGGAGCGGTCCAACTTGTACCTGAAGCTCTTCAAACTGGTGTTTGGGTCGGTATCACTGTTTGCAGCTGAGAATGAACAAATGCTGAAGGTTAGAAAATGAACTCAGAGTATTTAGATTTTACCTTGTCTCTGGTGGAAGAGCAGTCCAGCAAATTTTCGTACACGCACAACTCACAGTACAAGAGATTGCTCAATTGCATCTTTCTGCCAGATAGGAAATTATTTATACAGATTGTTCAGGTATCATCTGCGGAGTTGGCATCTTAGGTTTTGACCTTTTTGGACAGTATTTATAATAGTGTAGTATTCAATGCTTTATGACTACAGCATTTGTCTGAGACAAATGTGATTTTTCAAAACTTCAAAATTTCAATAGACAGCATGCAAGAAGCGGATATTTTGAAAAGCATTATACCTGAATTTTCTTTTTTTATCAAGCATGGAAATTCCTTCTTTTATATGCCTTCGACTGTTTGTGTTAGACCGATTGTGACTGCTTAGTCACGTGACCTATAGTGGATATCAGACAACAAATACGGTGCCCTATAGCAGAGTGTGTCGTACGTTTCATTTTCCAAAAGTAAAGCTGACGGTCAGTGAAGTACTCAGACTACTGATGTGCTTAGTACTATACCAAAAATTGGCATAATTTTTAAGTAAGCAACACTTGGAACACATTTTGGGAGGATGCCATGTTTGTTGATGTTTGATACTCACTTTAGGTCACGGGATTTAGTGGGCGAAATTGGTCTATGAAAGATTTGTAATAACCCTCCCCCAGACCCTTTTGGCTTGGATGCATCCTGTACTTCAAAATCTTCTTATTGCCTCCATGTAAAAAAAGGCATACAGCCTCCATGGTATCGTAAGGCAGTGCAGATGATTCCATGTATAAGCTAGATATAAGCTTAATATGCAGAGGGGAACATAACACAAGGTCTGACTAAGATTTTGACACATTGCATTATTCCATTTATTTCCTTAGCATTTACCTGTACTGCGCCATTGACTTAATTATAAATTATAAATTTTCAGTTATTATTATTGTTATTCTCAATCAGCCACACCTTTTTGTCATTCACCCTCGGTCCTCCAAAATCCTAGAAAGAGCCCTGAGCATTTTGTTGGGTTGAGGAAGGTCAGGGTTAATGAAATTTGATCTATCCTGACTTCTTTTTTTTTGACTGTGCAGCCACACTTGCATAAGATTGTCAACCGTTCCATGGAATTGGCAACCACAGCCAAAGAGCCGTATAACTACTTCCTTCTCCTGAGGGCGCTCTTTCGTTCCATCGGAGGAGGTAGCCATGATCTCTTATATCAAGAGTTTCTTCCATTGTTACCTGATCTCCTGCAAGGTAAGTCTGGTTTAATATGTGGTTACATCATTTTATTTGTAGTAGCTGGCTCTGAAGCAGACTTGTAGTGCATTATTTCCATAGATTACTTGTAACGTCAAATGCAGTTCAACACGTCTTTTTCTTCACTTTTCTGTGGAATCATATTGACATGGAATATGTTTTGTTTTCCTGTCAGTTGTTCCTGCATATTAGTAATCGCATGGAATTGAGAGGCATAAAAGGCCACTTTTAGAAAGGAATATTTGGTTTTCTGTTTACAAATTGTAGTTAAACTTTTATCTCCTACACTACACCAAGAGGCATAGCAGGGCAGGAACTTCATGGAGGCATCAGAGGCAACTACCTTGATGCCCTGGTCTTTGCCTCAGTGCGCACTGAAATGTCCCCATAGACAAGTTGATTTTCTAACACAAGTGTCCTTTGCAAATGAGAAGTTGCCTTACTCCTTCAAGAATGAAATTCCTACCCTGGCATAGCCTCATGCAGTTAGCAGTCTTTATATTGCTGTTATGATCACCATTGCACAACCTCCCTGAGTCCGTGACCAATCATAATTCAAAGATGAAGGAGGTCACTGTCATGCAGTGTTTCCTCTTGGCTGCATCCTAGTTGCATTTAACAGAGATTTACTTTCTAAGCTACACCTTCCTTGATACCCACTGTTGGACACCATATGAACCAGGATAGTGTTATCCACTATAGTGTCTTATGTAGTTCATGCATTCACCTGTACCCGAGGAACCAATTGTAATTGCTGTTGCACCTGAAGGATGATGTGTTCCCATAAAAACATTAGATAGTCTTGGAAACTTCCTTAGTGAATTTGAATATATTTTCTTGTGTTGGCATTAACGTGTGTAGGCTTAAACCAGCTTCAGAGTGGTCTGCATAAACAACACATGAAGGATCTCTTTGTTGAGTTATGTCTGACTGTTCCAGTGCGACTGAGTTCGTTACTGCCTTACCTACCTATGTTGATGGACCCACTAGTCTCTGCATTGAATGGATCGCAAACATTAGTGAGCCAGGTAAGATAACAGTTCTGTTTTCCCAGTAAAATTTTAGTACTTTCCACAAATTTCTTCTGAAACCTGACAGCTATCTATTCTGTTTAACCCCCACATACTAGCGACAGTGTGGCTTTGTGTGAGGATTAGTGCATACCACACATACATTCTATTCATCATGCGGCTGCTGGTTCAATGGGGCCTGCTGCTGGACAGGGCTTTGCATACTGGGCATACCACAGCCCAGCAGTCATGGTCAAAAGAATCCCAGCTTTAAAAAACAAGCATAGACATAACCGGCCTCTGTAAACGTTTACTGCTTCGGTATCAAAATCCTTCCATTACTATTCTAACTCTTGTACATGTGCATTCATTGGTATTTTTGTTTTGGTGGACAGGGTCTACGGACGTTAGAGCTTTGTGTTGACAACCTGCAGCCTGATTTCTTGTATGAACATATCCAACCAGTCAGAGCAGAGCTCATGCAGGTAAGAACATTTCAATCAAGTAAGCTACTGGATTGATCATTTGAATAGGTTTAAGAACCTTCATAGCAATACTGTTAAGCAGATTCTGGTTAGCAGTATTTTCAATTTGACTTACTGCGAAATAAGTGTGGATTTATAAACAGATTCAGTTTTAACTTTTAACTTTTATATTAAAATAGTGACTGTGTATTTTCATTTTCTTTGCTGAAGGCGCTGTGGCGTACACTGCGAAACCGCAATGACAATATCGCCCATGTTGCCTTCCGTGTACTGGGAAAGTTTGGTGGTGGAAATCGCAAAATGCTGAAGGAGCCACAAAGGGTAAGATGATACACTTACATTCAGCAAGGCTCTTTGATGTCAAAGTGGATTCTTTCTTGCTTGTTATTTCTATCCAAATCTATTGTCAGCAAAGTATTCTTTAACAGTTGTTAAATTCAAAGTGTTGTTGGGAAAAACCTGGCCAGTGTTGGGACATTGTGATATTGTGATTTGTCGTCATATATTGTTACAAGCTTTTATTTATATACATTTGAAAATTAAGAAATGTTGATCCTCAAAATTCAAAACATTTCTACATTTTTTTAGAGAGCTAAATGACAGTTTTTTGTTTTATGAACACTCAAAATTGTCAAAGAAAAGGAAAGTGCATGTTAGAGAATCAAAATGGATTTCCCATGATAAATATGTGTGATTGTGTGATTTTGAGTTCAAGTACCACAATAAAAGGTCAATGATAATAGGCTTCAATGAATTTAAACACAGAAGGTCCTCAAAAGCACTGTGTCATGCGAAAAGCGCAAATCAAAATCAAGGTGAAGCTAAAACAGGCAACAAAATTAACAAAGGCAAAACTTGTAGGTCAGCAAGGAGCATCACCTAGAGCAGAATGATGCGAGCATATAGACTAAGAACTCTGCTTCCAATGTCAATTTTTGAAGCTTCCACTCATTGTCAAGTAACTCAAGTTGAGAGAATGAACTCGTGTAATGGTTGAAATAGATCTGTGTTTGGAAAAAAAAAGAAAGTTAAGCTAAGAGTTTGAGTATTGATAGTGGTTATTGTTCTTCATTCAGCTTACCTACAAAGATGAGGATTCAGAAGGCCCATGCGTCAGTGTGTACTTCCCAGACCATAAAACACCAGTGCAGTTGCCTGTCAGCAAGGTAGGCATCATATTAAGGCCTGGTCTAAAGATCTTCAGGTTTTCACATGTTTGTAAAACGGATGGTTGGAGATTCATCTGTGAACTGCTATTGGCATTTGAGCTCTGGCCTTATGTACATGTAGTTTCAATTTATTGAAATGAGCTGACAGGTTTTCAAAAAGTGTTAGGTATACATCCCTCATACGTCTGTGTTTGGAAATGGTTAATCCTGGTAGATGAAGTAAATATCACCATGATCCTGGGATATGTTGAAAACCCTGTTTTTATTGGTTGTTCCTTTCCTAAGGAACAACCAATTCCTTGATTTTTGGAAAGGAAAGCTGCAAAACATTGCAGATTTAATTTATGCATTATGAACATACAAAGAGTTTTGGTGATGTAAAAAAAAGTTACGTTCAAAGTTTGGACAACGCTTATTCTGTCAATTTTTCAATAGGTAATAGAAACAGCTTTGAACAAGCTGAAATCTCCAAGTACAGAGCCATACTATCGTCGCCAAGCCTTTGAAGTCGTACGACATTTCATCATCAGTATGATGAATTTAGATGACACCAAACAGAGTCTGCAACAGTTACTGAGCCATTCTAGGTTGGTTGATGTAAATAAGATGGATTGGAGTAATTAAACTATCTGAGCCACACAGTCATAAACAGTCATTGGGTGCGTTCGATTAGCTTCCCTGAATACACCAGTGTTACACGCAAGGGAAGCCTCGAAATGAGGCTGATTGAACGCTGCAGTGTATTCGCCAAAGCATTCTGGGAAAAAGGTCAAGTCCCTGCCACGTTCCATCATTTCCATGCTCGAACAGTTTATCCGTGATGTCATTACACTCGGGCAGCCTCCAGAGACCCGCTCGCCAGCTGGGTTAGTGGTGGCTGACACCAGGGCAGGCACGAAGATCACGTGATGGCTAAATGAACGTTCTCGTGTAAGTTTGACTTACACATGTAAGCTAATCGAATGCACCCATTGGCGATTATCTGGACTTTTACAACTTGTTTAGCTCAGACAAAGTCTATTGGGACCAATACAGTGATGTTGGTAAGCATTCAGCAGAGATATTGTGCTAACTATAGCAGAAAAATTGAGATAACCTGTAAGCATATCTAAGTGTGTAGGTCTGCTTATGGATGTATGTGCATGGAGATTTCCATGCCATCTGTAGCACAAACCTTTGGATTAGACAAGTGCAATTACTTTTGAGATCTGTATGCTTTCCTGACTCTGTAAACACACAATTAAGGCTGTCCTTATCTGCTTGCTGAAAGGCTGAATGTCATACAACAGTGTACTTTATTTGTTTACTTCCTCTTATGCTGTCCTGGTCACATCAGTCATTTTGCAGCTTGAATGAATTCTACGAAACCTAAACACTTCTAATTGTTGTTGATTTCAGCATGACAACGGGTGATATTCCACATGTATCAAGCCACGCCTACAAGTGCCCCAACACACTGTCTAGGACTGCTTTTCAGCATGCGCTCACAGCCATGATTGGTAAGTTCATCCTCGGTGCAGTGTTTGTGTTGAATACAGTAGTCATATTCACGACCATTACAAGAAATGGCAAAAATCAGTTCTGTTGAGAAACAGTCCAAGGTCCCAGGGGCCTAGAAAACTTACTTTCATGGAAAGGTTTTCATCCAGAAACAATCCAGCAACATACCTGTATAATGCTTGTTTTTCTGCAAAATGGTTTTTCTGCAAGATCTTCAAGTAAACTATTTCAGAGAAGTGTGATTCAAGTCCCCAGTAATTTTGTCTTTCTGAAAATCCCCCCCCCTGTTTTTTCTGAATAGCAGAACTGGCTAAATTGTGGAACTGGACAATCAATTGTAGTAACGATTGACGTATTAAGGAAAGAGGGTGGAAGTTTCACACATTTTGCTGGCCAACCAATGTAGCTATAGTCCTACAATCCAAGCACTTTAGTGCAGAGCAGTGCAAGAAATTTATTAGCAGCAAGAAATATATTGCATTCAA